TTTATTTCTGTGTGTAAATTGCCATAGAGTAGGCTGTCAGCGGGCTTCACTCCGTGGTTTTTACATGCTATATCTCGTCTTGAAGTATCTTGTTATGAAAATTCCTGATTTTTTTGACATGTATGGAGAGCTAGTTAGTCAGGCTACAACGTCCAACAAGTTTGAAGTCCATAGACCCAATACTCGTGGAGAAAATGAGACATAAGCAAGAATATTTTGCCCGAGTTTATTTCTGTGTGTTGCCATAGAGTTGTCCATAGGGTAGGCTGTCAGCGGGCTTCACTCCGTGTTTGTTTACATGCTATATCTCGTCTTGAAGGTATCTTGTTATGAAAAATTCTGATTTTTTTGACATGTATGGAGAGCTAGTTAGTCAGGCTACAACGTCCAACAAGTTTGAAGTCCATAGACCCAATACTCGTGGAGAAAATGAGACATAAGCAAGAATATTTTGCCCGAGTTTATTTCTGTGTGTAAATTGCCATAGAGTAGGCTGTCAGCGGGCTTCACTCCGTGGTTTGTTTACATGCTATATCTCGTCTTGAAGTATCTTGTTATGAAAAATTCCTGATTTTTTGACATGTATGGAGAGCTAGTTAGTCAGGCTACAACATCCAACAAGTTTGAAGTCCATAGACCCAATACTCGTGGAGAAAATGAGACATAAGCAAGAATATTTTGCCCGAGTTTATTTCTGTGTGTAAATTGCCATAGAGTAGGCTGTCAGCGGGCTTCACTCCGTGGTTTGTTTACATGCTATATCTCGTCTTGAAGGTATCTTGTTATGAAAAATTCCTGATTTTTTTGACATGTATGGAGAGAGAGCTATTAGTCAGGCTACAACGTCCAACAAGTTTGAAGTCCATAGACCCAATACTCGTGGAGAAAATGAGACATAAGCAAGAATATTTTGCCCGAGTTTATTTCTGTGTGTAAATTGCCATAGAGTAGGCTGTCAGCGGGTAGCTGTCAGCGGGCTTCACTCGTGGTTTGTTTACATGCTATATCTCGTCTTGAAGGTATCTTGTTATGAAAAATTCCTGATTTTTTTGACATGTATGGAGAGCTAGTTAGTCAGGCTACAACGTCCAACAAGTTTGAAGTCCATAGACCCAATACTCGTGGAGAAAATGAGACATAAGCAAGAATATTTTGCCCGAGTTTATTTCTGTGTGTAAATTGCCATAGAGTAGGCTGTCAGCGGGCTTCACTCCGTGGTTTGTTTACATGCTATATCTCGTCTTGAAGGTATCTTGTTATAAAAAATTCCTGATTTTTTTGACATGTATGGAGAGCTAGTTAGTCAGGCTACAACGTCCAACAAGTTTGAAGTCCATAGACCCAATACTCGTGGAGAAAATGAGACATAAGCAAGAATATTTTGCCCGAGTTTATTTCTGTGTGTAAATTGCCATAGAGTAGGCTGTCAGCGGGCTTCACTCCGTGGTTTGTTTACATGCTATATCTCGTCTTGGAGGTATCTTGTTATGAAAAATTCTGATTTTTTTGACATGTATGGAGAGCTAGTTAGTCAGGCTACAACGTCCAACAAGTTTGAAGTCCATAGACCCAATACTCGTGGAGAAAATGAGACATAAGCAAGAATATTTTGCCCGAGTTTATTTCTGTGTGTAAATTGCCATAGAGTAGGCTGTCAGCGGGCTTCACTCCGTGGTTTGTTTACATGCTATATCTCGTCTTGAAGGTATCTTGTTATGAAAAATTCTGATTTTTTTGACATGTATGGAGAGCTAGTTAGTCAGGCTACAACGTCCAACAAGTTTGAAGTCCATAGACCCAATACTCGTGGAGAAAATGAGACATAAGCAAGAATATTTTGCCCGAGTTTTTCTGTGTGTAAATTGCCATAGAGTAGGCTGTCAGCGGGCTTCACTCCGTGGTTTGTTTACATGCTATATCTCGTCTTGAAGGTATCTTGTTATAAAAAATTCCTGATTTTTTTGACATGTATGGAGAGCTAGTTAGTCAGGCTACAACGTCCAACAAGTTTGAAGTCCATAGACCCCACTCGTGGAGAAAATGAGACATAAGCAAGAATATTTTGCCCGAGTTTATTTCTGTGTGTAAATTGCCA